AACATTTAGATCTCGTACAAACCCGAACGCCTTTACCAAAGTTTTTCAATTCTTTATGAACTCGATCAACGCCTGTCAATTTGTGTGCACTTATTGAATCCCTTTGATTGTCACTTTTTCTACCAGTGGGCCAGTAGTTCTCGAAATATTGCGGACCAGGTACAAAGTAGATTGGATAAATAGCGATCGCACCTGGAATCGATTTAATAGCATCAATCGAATGTTCTGTATTCACTGAAAATGAAGCACCTGTGAATAATGATGAGGAAATAACTTGACGCATTGTAATAGTTGATTGAGAGATTCCCAAAGATCTTTGTAAAGAATTGAAAAACTTTGGTAAAGGCGTTCGGGTTTGTACGAGATCTAAATGTTAAGAAGCTTCAAAAGAAAAAAAGCACTAACCCTATTCTTTTTATTGTATAGATAGCTATTATTGATAATGGTATTGATTATTATCATCCAGCTCTTGGAGGGTGTTTTGGTTCAGATTGCAAAGTTGCATTTGGCTATGGTAAGATGAAGTTGAGAATTCTTTTAGGCATACAAAGAAATATGATGATTGAATTATTTCCAGACTTAGTTGGAGACGGATTTAGTAGATCGTATATTATACCTGAACCTGATGATGATCCACTTGATAATTGTTCGAGGTCTTCTCATGGTATTTGATAATGTTACATTCATTTTCTTGAATAAAATATAATATTAGGTACACATATTGCTGGAATACTTGCTGCAAATGCAACAGAAATAGTACAAACCAATTATAGTCCTATAGAACCATTTATCGGTGTTGCTCCACAAGCAACTATTGGAGCATGTAAATAAACATATTCTTTCTATTAGTTGAACTCAATCATTTTATTTGCTTATCTTTTAGATCGTATTTTTGGATGCTCCGAAAATGGTACTACTACAGGTACAGATGATTAAATATCTACTATTAATATATTCATTTTTTTACACTCTTCTATATATACATTATTCTAGATATCATTACTGCAGCTATCTATCGTGCTTTTGAAGATAAAGCTGATATAAGTAAGTTGCTAGGGTGTGAATGTAGGTTTTTAGTATGTGACTTCCGATTGCCTGATAGCAAAAAAATAAAAATAAACCACGCTTCTTTCAATAGTATAAAATACTATACATCTAGTTACAATGTCTATTGGCAGCATGGGTAGTTATGCAGAGAGATCAGATGCAGTTGCTGTCAAACGAGTATCCGAAGCTGGAGGTAACAACTATTCTTTTTTTTTTTACTGAAGAAAGCGTTTCTTGAATTTCGAAATTTTTCTATTAGTTTATGTCGTATGTTCGATGGGCAATGATGGAAGAGAGGGTCTTCAAACGGGTGCAAATCCAGCTATTGCCAAAGATGCCATTGCAGTTGGATCAGTAGATAATTCGTATGAAGCCCAATTATATTTGATAACACCGAATGGCGAAAAAATTTTTTATATACCCGGAATTGCGTACGGTGGGTGGCGATCGACGATATACTCGACTATTGTTGTTAATGGTTAGTTTTGTCTTATTTGTGAATGTGTATATGGTGGATAGTTTTATATATTGATCAGATCCACAAGCTACATCGAATGATGGCTGTTCTGGTCCATCTAAACCAGTTGAAGATGCTGTTGTTTTGTACGCAGTTCGTCGAGCAGATACTTGCAACTCTACTGTTCGATGTAATAAAGCAGCAGAACAAGGCGCCGTTGGCTGTCTTCTATATAATATCGATTCTATAATAGGTTTGCCTTTTCTGTGGTTATTTTGAATTTAATATTATAGTTTTTAGGGTCTTCTGTTATTCCGAGTGGAAGTATTAGTTTAGAAGACGGTCAAAGCATCATTAAGATAGTGACAGAAAACTCATCAGCGATTTTTACGTTCACCAATATGCTTGAATTTAATCCAATGGTGAGTAAATAGCATTTTGATCAATGATAACATTAGAGAGACAAAAAAAACAAAATTTATGGAGTATTCGGGACTTTAAGGCACACAACAATTCATAAAATAAGCAGACACGTATGAAAACTAGACAAAAAACTATAACAACATCTATTAGCACTGATTCATATGTTTAAACTTGACAGCTTTTTGAACACTGTCTCGATGAAAATTAATCATGAACTTTTTTTTTTCGACTACTAGTCGACAGTTGGAGCACCTTCGCCGTTTACATCCCTCGGTCTTACAAGTGATTTATTATTCAAACCTCAAATAAGTGGCATTGGCGGTTATGTTTACTCAACTATTTCATCTTATGCTGCTCAAAATCAATATTTGACGAATGCCTACGCTTCCTATTCAGGTACAAGTATGGCATGCCCCTATGTTGCAGGGTATGTATGAATTATGGATTTTCTTTCCAGACGTTAAGATTTTTCATCCAGCATATATTGAACCACATTACTTGAAAAATATAAGGTCAAATTTTCCAATTTTTTTTCTTAAAAGTTTGAAAAAAATAAAGAAAAAGGCTATCATGCCAAACATTTTTAGTATTTATTTGTTATTTGTTTTATTCGAAGAACTCTAGCACTCTATCTTTCACAAATCGGTAATCCAGTACCCGAAACAGTCAATAAAGCGTTCAATAACGGTACTACTTATCGTCCTTCAATCTCTGAAGTTCTCAACTTATTCCAATCAAATGCTAATCCAGTCAATATTTACAATTCCACTCTTCTGGCTTCAACTGTTCAGCAAGGTGCTGGATTAGTAAATGCTTTTCAAGCACTGACAGCTACGACAATCGTGTCACCAAGTGAACTTGCATTGAATGATACAGTAAGACAACAAGAATCGTATGTCATTGAAGTATTCAATATTGGCGAAAAAACAACTTCATACAATATCAGTCACCGTGGAGCTGCATTGATCACTGGAATTCAAGATGGAAATGATCAGCTATTGTCTCAGCCGTTGTACTCGGCTGATTATGCTGTGAGTTCCATTTGTACGATGAGAGATATATCAAAAAATAGGAAACTGACATAAGTCGTTTAGAATAATATTGCATGTTATATAGACAATGCTGTTTTTGACATTATCAAATTAGTGGAAGATTTAAGTTTTTACTTCAACTCAATTGTTCAATGTCAAAGACTTTGAGGGTGATATTTAGGATGGGAACCTGTATGTGAACAAGATATTATCAGGCATATTCATTTAAATAAAGTCTGTTGGGACCTATCTACTAATTATCACTAGTCCTAGTTAAACAAATAAAGTTATTTTAGAAAGGCACGATAATTCTAAATCCTATAGAACATGTGAGATTTTTATAGAATTAGAATAATAAATCAATCATCAACAAGTCTCTAGATTAATGCACGTTCTATAACAATCGTATTCACACTCGATAGACTTTAGTATTTTTCTTGGATCACATTTTATATAGCTGTTGCTTTGTAGAAGGTATATTTTACTTTAGCGTTCGAACATAAATGTATGATATGAATATATGAAGATCAAACAAATGTTTGTAAATCATTTGATTGATTCATTTTTTCATTTTCTAATTAAAGACTGTTCATATTTGGCCAGAATATTTTCAACTTGATCCTGGACAATCACGTACAGTTACACTTAAATTTCATGCACCTGATGGAGTCAATCCGAATTTTCTTCCAATTTATTCAGGCTTTACTGATGTAGCAAATGATGTTGATGAAAAAGTTGTTCATGTTCCATGTAAATATTCATTTCTAGAGAATGTTACGGCTTATCCTTTGATTTAAATATATAATTCTATATAGATGCTGGTGTTGTTGGGAATTATAGCGATGCAAGTATTTTAGTGCGCAATAATCCACAAGGATTCATTACGGGTATTGTAGGTGATGATGGATATTATATCACAGATGGACAAGAATTGAATATTACAGCTGCGGGTGTTTTTCCAATTGTACTGGTTACAGCGTGGGCTTCACGTACCATTTTAGTAGAAGTTGTTTCATCAGAAAATAATGATCTACCTGAACTTGATTTGAAGTAAAAGAAAAATAGAATCTTATTAAAGAAGAGAGTAGTAACTATATCTAAGTAATTTTTAAATACGCATATATTTTCTGTCAAATAACATTGTATAACTAATTTTATCCCTAAGTTTTCAAGAAACGACTTTCATTCATTCATTGATAATCATGAGATCAGTATTCAGTTCATCATAAGTTATATCTGAGAACAATCATTGCTTGAAAATAGTTAAGACTTTCTAGAAAAAAATTGGAAAAATCGTTAATCATGAATTATTACTGCTTTGCTGATGTACTTTACCGATACAATTCGATAAATAATTTTTTTCTCTTTTTTACATGATAGTCATGGTATGTTGTTCGATCCTCGACAACGCAAACCATTATATTTCGTGAATGTACCGAGAAACGGGGCTACAGGATTCAGCGAGTCGTACGAAGCATATTCTTTATATTTATGGTCTGGACTTGTTGCTCAAGTGATTACCATTGAAAATGATTTGTTTTTGCGTACAACAAGACTCGCTCCTGGTCGTTATAAACTTCGATTTTCGGCTCTTAAAAACTTTGGAGATTATAGAAATGATAATGACTATGAAGTTTACTATACACCATTATTCAATTTTGTCTATTAGTTCACTATAACAATACTTTTGCTTCTCTTTCTCTTATTTTTATACAACTATTTGTATGATTTTTCTCTAATAAATTGTCGTGCATTTGTATCCGTTATTCAGACTCGTAGTCATAGTTAATCTGTTAAAATTTAACGATTTTTCTAAGCTCGACGGATCGCAATGACATGAACTCCTCAAATCGATCCCTTCCCTTGACATTTTTTATCTCTCGTATGTAGAGTTGTGACATTAGAAGACAACACAAAAGAATAAAAAACTAACATTTAATTCATTTGAAAGTAAGTATTTTTTGCGATTTTAAGGTGTATTAATTGGATATAGAGAAAATTCTAGAGCAGATGCTCAAGTATCTATAGATATCGCTGCCACATTATTCCACATTGCAGCTATTGACGAAAAACAACAAATAATCATGCCAAGATCACTTACTTTGCAAACGTGGTACGATCACTGACTATCATGGGAATCTAAGTCACATACTATTTATGCGACCAGTTGAAAGTTGATATTACCAGCATTAAAAACAAAAACAGGATGTAGTTTTTCAGTTCAGAAATCTTCATTTGATAATCTAGTATGCATTATCAATTTAACATTTTGAAGTCAATAATCTAATAGAGTCTTATATACACAAAATAGAAGTGTAATTATTGATATATCTGAGTATCTTGAACATCCTGTGTGGAAATTAAATGAATATTTACAAAGAAAAGCATAATATTTAATGATAATAGTATATGTGCATGTTTTGTTTTAAATTGTGTTACTTTATTGACATATACATTACTGTTTAAAACGCGAGCAGGTCTATGTAAGGATATCTTCTATTTTGAATACATGACGAAAGCATTATATTTAAGTGCAAATAGTTAAAGAGGAACAATTATAAATATTGAAAAAGCAGAATGCAATTTCTGCAACAGATGCAAATTATGACAATATAGTTTTAAGACTCGCGAAGCTAAAGAACGCAATCAAGAAGACATTTTTTTTATCATATAATATGATTGGAATAGTTTTTGTACATTTTCTTTCAGCTAGTTCAGCTAAGATTTCAAAAAAGATAGAAAGAAATTGTACAAAATTTATTATGAATATAGCTGTTTTAAAGGTAACACTAACTGTAAATTGTAACAATTACTAAAAATAATGCCAGAAGACCTTCCATTATGAAAACAGATTTTTTTAATGACTAACACAAGTATTTCCTTTATTGACACATCAACACTTTGGAGTGGAGTCTTTGATATCTTCAACAATAAACATTAGGAATTATGACGCGACGGGGTATGGGTGTGGGGTGTGTGGGTGAACGATTTTAACCCACACCCACATTCACACGCACCCACCCACCCACACCCACACCCTGATGGATTATTGCAATTTTTATTTTTTGTCAAAATATTGACAAATATGAACATTTAAAATAAGATAAACTTCAAGGATTTTTTACAGATGGTGAAGAACTAATAAACCATATTGAAATGTTTATAGCAAAAAGTAATGCTACAACAGATCTTACTATAATGCCTAATCAATCATGCACGAGTTCAGGTAAATGAGTGCTGTGGATATAAAATAAAAGTATTATATTGTGATTTTCTGTTACATACATTCAATGTCATCGAGAGATAAGTCCACAGAAAATCCAATTAGAAATTTAAAGAAAGATCTAGCAAGTTTTCTTTAAGGCAATAAGTACGTAGTCATAAGTAGTTTCAAAGGTGCAAGAAAATGTTGAATAAAATTGACGAATATGAAAAGTAATTACTCACTGAAGATCGAAAGAATGCGAGTTTTTATTATACAAATAACTCATTCGTATATCGATGTACCAATACATCTTTAAACCTTTGAGCACAGGCGACGTGAATTCGCGTCCTAACATTTTAGGAACTGAATAACTTTAGAAAATATGATCTCTTGATTATTTAATGACATAGTTTACATGCATATTTGTATTTATGATATTTGTACGCTTAAGAGTATGTAAAAGGTAACGAAGGACAAATATTAAGCATTGACTCATATGTACTGCTTTTTTAAGTTTTCTATCATCGTAAAATGACGTTATGATCTCTCTCAGGAGCCTTCGAGGATATTCTTTTTCTCTATCCGATCGATATATATTAAAAGCGTGATTTACTTCAACACATTCTATATTCTCTTACATCTACTTTTCACAAGGTGTGGTTATATTCAACCAGAAACCTATTAGATAAATCACAAAAACGTATAATGGATTCAGAATCTGGCAATGCCTCTCAAGACTCTTCATATGATGAAAGTTTCGATGAAGATGAATGCAACAGCAATTTGGAGCAGTCATCCTATTCCGCAAAGTTACACATTCCTGCACGTTCCTGCACATTCCTGCACATTCCTGCATACGTACATCTATTCATATTCTACTTAACACTGCGATAGAAACAAAGAAC